AATATAAAAACTTGTTTAGATCTTGCAACTGACAAAAAAGTGATTTGCTCGACAAAAAATACACCCTGGTATAACAGGACTATTAAGGGAGCTCAAAATTTGAGAGACAAACAATACAATAAATGTATGTTCACAAAATCAAATGATGATTGGGAGGTATATAAAACTCTTAGGAATAAATGTGTGTATGTAATTAGAGAAGCAAAAAGGAAATTCTATGATAAAAAAATCGATAATTACAAGTGCGACAGTGTAAAGATGTGGAAGACTTCAAAAAGACTGATCAATTCGAAGCCGCATGATTATGTAAATCAAGTTCGATTCGAAAACAGTACCGAAACAAATTCTTTGGTGATTGCAAACAAACTAAATGAATATTTTGTGGAAAGTATTGTTGATATTGTGGGTACTGCCAATGCTGCCCTGACTATATGAATATCAGTTTCCAGGGGGAAGTGTTGCATACACTTTCAAAATTTCATAGCGTATCATTGAATTATCTAAGAAAAAAGTAAGCAGTTTAAAATCAAATAACAACTGTACCGAAATCACTACTAAAAACGTGCTGAAAAACTGTTTTGAAATTTTGGGATATCCGGTATAAAATTGGATCAATTTTTCACTGAGAAGCAGTTCTTTTCCTGAAAATTTGAAATACTCTACAATAACACCAGTTCTCAAAATAAAAAATTCTAAAAAGTGCAGCGATATGAGACCAATAAATGTGTTACCAGACAATGAAAAATTATTAGAGTCCATAGTGTATGACCAATTAATGCAGTTTATAGAAGAAAACCAAATTTTAGTGGAGGCGCAAGCAGGCTTTCGAAAAAAAAATTCCACAGAAACAGCTTTCCAGTTGGTAATTGAGAATTGGAGAAGAGCCATAGACTCAGAATAAGTTATCATAGCGGTATTTTTGGATTTGAAGAGGGCATTTGAAACGATTGATATAGATATTTTGTAAATTGAAGGCATATGGTATATCAGGAAGTGTTTTAGACTGGTTTAGAAATTATTTATCTAAAAGGATGCAAGTTACAAAAGTTAATGACACTATTTCATCAGAAATTGAAAATATGTTGGGTGTTCCACATGGCAGTATCCTGGGACCACTTCTTTTTATTTTATACATAAATGATTTACCTGCCATAGTCAAAAAATGCAAAATTCAGATTTTCGCCGATGTCACTATGATTTATATAAGTACTGAAAATATTGAGACTGGTATCTCTTATATAAATGAAGACTTGAAACTTGTCTCAAAATGGTTAGCATCTAACAGACTTAAATTAAATACAAATAAAACAAAAGCTATGTTGATCGAAAAAAAAACAATGTACAAATGTTCAACTGAATATTGATGGTGAAGATATTGAATTAGTAGAAAATTTTAAATACCTGGGGGTTTTTGTTATCTCTCGATTAATTTTTGATATTCATTATGAAAAAGTTATAAATAAGATTAGTAGTAAAGTGGGATATTTATCGAGAGTTTCTTGATGTCTGAGTTCATATAGCAGAAAAATTATCTATAATACCATCATTCTTCCAAATTTCTTGTACTGTTCGACTATTCTATATTTATCCAATAATTCCATTTTTGAAAGACTGCAAATTTTACAAAATAAGTGCATGAGAATAATACTGAACAAAGATAAGTATACTCCAATTAGGCAAATGCTTAGCAAATTAAAATGGCTCAATTTAAAAAATTTTTATCAAATATCTTGTAATGATAATAATATAAAAGAACAATTAATCCAATTTAATACAGGATATCCCAAAATTTCGAAACAGTTTTTCTGCACGTTTTGAGTAGTGATTTCGGCACAGTTGTTTGATTTTAAACTGTTTACTTTTTTCTCAGCTAATTCAATGATACGCTATGAAATTTTGAAGGTGTATGCAACACTGTCTGAATCCACATGCTAAATTTTACCGTAAATCGTGAGTACGAAGCTGAGCAACGTTTGTAAATGGCGCGGAACGCGCGCATCGCTTTGTGGTAGCTACAGTAGCTGGTGTCAAGTGACGTCATCACTTAGTCTCACGCTCCACCAAGACAATTCTCCAAATAAGAGGCTTCCGGGTAGCGTAACTTTGTCATTTTTCAAGATATTCAGTGTTGTACTTCACTTAGGTATTTTAAATGTGTTTCCAAAAATAGGAAACTTCCTCGTTGTTAGAAAATAATTTAACCGAGACTTCTTTCATCTATAGTCGGCAGTTGCTTAAACTTCCAATCTATACTTGTTACTGCCTGCACTATGGACACTACGTACAGTGGAATCCTCTTATAATGAACTTGCTTAAAAGCAAAAACCCGTACATAATGGACACAATGTAAGGTTCTATAAATAATGTAAAATATTCGGATATTATAGACTCGCTTAAAATAGACCCTCGCTTAAGCGGAGGTAGATGGTGGCCTGTAATAGACTATTTGTCACAATCCCGCCGAGTCCATTATAAGCGGGTTGCGCTGTATTAAGTTATTTTGTCTGTACTATCTCCATACCTACTGACCTTGTCCGAATACTCCCGACGAACTATATGACCCCGCATTTGCACTGCTGAACGAACTAGAGCTGCTAAACGAACTGCTTCCTGCGACACCTCCCCCTTTTATAAACGGTCCTCCCTTGTGCAACAATCCGGGAAGACCAAAACCACCAGCTCCCGCTGACGATCCTGAACTGGCACTGGCTCCTGCAGAGGCAGACGCGGATGCAAAGCTATGCGCGAATGATCCAGCGTTAGCGCCTGCTCCAATTCCAGGGATGGGAAGGGGGAAGCTACATCCTCCAGGACAACCTGCAAGAAACAATTGTACACCTTGGCGTCAAGTGGGTTGTTCATAAACGATTATGCCCGACACAAGTCATTCCCTCTGAACTAGCTAAAAAAAGTTAAATGGATTAGCCGCTGAAATATCGAAACACGGAGTCTGAGCTTTTTCATTTTTTTTTTCGTGTTTTGCCCCTAGCTCCACCTGCACAGGACCAAACTTTAAAAAACGCAAAGTTTTTCGTCCTTGGCATAGTCGTAATCTTATGTCAAAATTTCATCAAAATCCAAGGCGAACTTTGCAAGTTATAGGCGGTTCAAAGATAAACGGGCAGACCGAACGACCGACGGAAATCAGTGGCATGGTTTTTCGTGATGTACAAAAATAAGCGATCGAAGTTGCACATACCTCTTTCATCTTCTGGCCTCCCAAAATACTGAATTGCAACGTTGTATTAGCGCCGAAGACAGTCCAAAAAGCATTACTGATACTGGAAGGTAATGTCGGAGCAATAATTTATAGATAAAAGGAACCGCATTCTGTTCAGGCGCGTGGCTTGGTTGAGTTGTTTCCAGTGGAGGTGGGCTATTGCTGTTGATGGGGTGCAGGCTTAATTAAATTCCCAATATGGTGTGATTTTCAAAGCAGACTACATCTTTATTTGTAATATATCTAGTGGCTTTTGGAAGGCAAAATATTTATTTCAAATTTCAATATTCAGGGAGAAGCAGGTTGTTTGATTAATTCTGGTATGGTAGGTTGGATGTTTGATATTGAATAGACAACCCTAGGCTACCGAACATAGTTACGTTTAGAAACTAAAAATTCACATCTAAAATGTAAATATGAAAACCGTTCACTTTACGAAATTAGGGCTGGCGGTTTATTCTTCTTGCAACTAATTTCATTAGCTCTGAAAAGTATTTCACCAGTATTTAGTTTAACCATTATCTGTGTCTATACAAAACTTTAACTCTAAGCAAAAGCTAAACATACACGGTAATGTTTACCGAAAGGACATGCGATAAACAGGTTACAATAACAATAAGAGTTTTGAGCGTAGCAATTAGAATTTTTAGAGAAATTTTACATGGAGTACCCTTCAAAATACTTTAAGGAGTGTGTATATTTCATATGTTCAACTCTTATGTTCTGATGATTTAATAATAGGAAAGTTGATATATCATTATATTAAAAATCGCCGCAAATTCTTCCACTCTCAAATCTGCCGTTGGTAATACAGATCATATTGTGGCGGAATCATGAATCTGAATATCCATAATAGTAAACCAGGCTGCTATGCATATTATTAGCGTGTATGTCCAGCTTTACGTACACCCTTCAACTGAATAGATACACCAACACAGATGCCGCTATACAATAGGCTTTTTTATGATTTACTGCCTGGAGGCTACCAAGATATCCAAATAAAGGGAAGAAGGGTAACAGGCGGAGGGTTCATCTGAATGGGTTCCCTACTTTTAATTCTATTGATTTCAATGCGTAGCTTGACATGCCATAGAGTAATTGTGTCTATACAGGTTAATCCATATTATTATTTTTTCTGTCTAAACGATATATGATAAATAGCATTTTCTGGAATCTACGCACCCGATTCACCTAGAAAACTAACTCCTATCTCGACCATAGACGTGCAGTAGTTTTTAGGTATTTTTTATTAGTCGTTTTTGACAAAGTTTAATTCTTGCCAGTATATCGAAAACGAGGCATTTTCGAACTGAATGGCCATGGATTCGGTTTCAGATACCCAAAAAGCGTATCATAAGACATGTTGCGTTAACGTTCCCGACTGACCCTTTTTGTGCCTTTTTGGTGGCGGTCGTCGTCAGAGTCGCGGTCGTGGTCGTGGACGCGGACGCGGTCGTGGTCGTTGTCCCGGTCGCGGTCGTGGTCGTTGTTGCGGTTGTGGTGGCAATCGCAGTCGTTATCACGGTCGTGGTCGAGGTCGTGGTCATGGTCGCAGTCGCCGTCGTGGTCGCGGGCATGGTCGTGGTTGCGGTCGCGGTCGCGGTCATGGTCGTGGTCGCGGTCGTGGTCGTGGTCGTGGTCGCGGTCGTGGTCGCTGTCGCGGCCGTGGTCTTGGTTTGATCTGGTTACTTTGGTTTGGTTTAGCTCACGGTCGCTTTAGCGTTCCACCCATTGGCGATAGCCCACCTGGCGTTCTGGTTTCCTTGACATTGTGCAATATAAGTAACTGCTATACTGATTCTAACAGAGGTTGGAATGGATTATTCTTCGGTCACAAGTTTGAAAATGACTGTAAGGGCGCTAACCTTAGTAACCAAAAAAGAAAGCAGATTCTTCAAACTATGTGCTTACATCCTACAAGCTTTTTCAGTGTAGATGAAAATAATGACTTTGATCTTTAAATGTTCGTATTTATTTTTCAGTGAACATGAATAATATAGATTGAAGAGTATAAAATTAAATAAAGAAATGGAACATGACATCTATTTTCTCGCAATATACTTGAACAATCTACTTTGGAGATGTGAGATTGACTTAGAATATAAAACTTAATAACAAATTTGTATCGTATTTTCTTCTTTTTGGTACTATCCACTGATCAATCACACAAAAATTTAGTTGTTCGATAAAAAGAGTTCCAGCACGGTGTAACTTAAAACTAACAACTTTTTGGGAGAGTAATAAGAAGGGTGGGCCTTTGGAGTCACTATCAAATGATCTTATAATCCTCCATGGTTGTCTAGTCGCAAATGAAACCTGATAAGCTAAGAGTGCCAACTGATGACATTCTGGCAATCACGGTGGCTTTTTCAAGCAAATACATAAGTTATTTTTTTGCCTTTCGTGGTGTTACAACTTAAGCGACGATGTCTCAAATTCCAAATATGTTAGAATGACAATAGTCGCCTTTACATCATTAGCGGAGCATCGAAATTAGCACCCCACGTCCTGCTAGTTTCGCGACACGTAAATTAATACAGTGTTCTGCGGTCAACTACCTTCAGGTGACCTTCATAACCTGGAAGTTTACGTTCCTCCTGACCACCTGCTATATCGCAGTCACGACAGTTTGACTGCATGTAGGATTTTGGATACCACAATGTAATTTCAGATACGAAAACTGTTTTAACGATGGAGTGACGCTACTCTTCTATAGTCCGTATCATTTCGCCACTACCTGAATAAATGCTTATTGAACCACCTTAGGCGCTAATGCGACGTTGCAATTCGGTACATTTGGAGGGCAGAAGATGAAGGAGGTATAAGCAACTTTGATCGCTTATTTTTGTACATGTCATATAACATCCAAAAAACCTAATATCCCTTTTACGAAATTTTTCGTGATTACTATACTTCCTCGCCAGTGGCGTTGAAAGTAAAAATGATCAACTGATATTTCATTTGACACTAGACTTTTGGTTTAATGTTATTCTGCTTATTCTTACTATGAGGTAAAAATATTCCGCAGCGTTGTTTGATTAACCTTATAATAATACACTTGGATGCGCTCATAGGTAGGTTATTATCATCACACCAAATTATTACTTGGTTAAGATTATTTTGGAGACGTTCGCAATCAGTGCTGCTGTCAACTTGAGTATACATTTTCAGATCATCTGCATATAACAGAAATTTGCAACCAATGACGTCAGCAATGTTGTTGATAAATATAATAAAACGAAGTGGTCCTAACGAGGATCTCTGCGGAACACCTGATGGTGGATTTAAATTTATTTATTTAAATACCACAAACAGCTTATGGCTGGAGATATAGCGTTTCAGACGGCATACTAAATCATTTGAAACGCTCATTGCATCAAGTTTTGTTAGTAGCAGATTATGGTCCAACTTGTGGAATGCTTTACTAATACCTGTATAAATGACATATATGAATAATTTTCGTAGTGACTCGAAATAATTTTAGTGTCTTAATTTACCAACAAAATGCTTCACTGTTAATGCTTCTACTGCTGGCAGGAAAAAGATACTAACCTGCACCATGGGTTCCACCCATAACACCACCACCACTATAGCTTCCACTGCCAGCAGTTGCTCCACTACCACCGAATCCTCCAGCTACTCCACCAGATCCTGTTCCACTTGATCCACAGTTTCCATCAAGACATCCATGGCCAGCAATCGACCCATCTCCGATCGTTGATACTGACCCATCGTTTTTATGAATCGTTACTGATCCGGTAGCGAATCCAGAATCTATATCAAAGAAAAACATATAATGCATCAACATTATATATGTTGGAGTATCTAATCTATTATGGATTCTATGAATTACTATCTAGCTTAGCAAAGCTTAGATTCTCAAACAACTAAAGGCGTCAACATGAAACATCTTGACCTGAAGTTGGGTCAGTTTTTTTTGTGGCTGGGCTAATCACGATCCTCTACTGCGACTCAGTGGTTTATTGTGGCTCACACCTATTTATATTTCTCCCAGTAATTCCGACCTCCTAAGGAAGTCGATCAGCGTATTCAAAGAAATATCCTGCAGGTCTTCTACCTGGAGTACCTCTCCCCCAAGTACCTGACTCTCCTGACAAGGAAATCTGCATAAAACATGCTTAGCCGTTTCGTATACCTCCATGCTGAGTCCACTAGGGCTTAAAGCTACTGTTGCCTGTTGCCGCAGCATTGAGTCTGTTACCGTTTTCGTTATGATTGGTATAGTTGACTTAGCAAAGATTAAGCCAGTTGAGGGATCTTTCCTTCCATCTCTTAGTCGTATTGGGCGCGATCCCGTTTGCCGGAGCAAGCACTATGAAGGGTGTGCTAGCCTCACTCTTTGCCAGAGTGCCAGCTGTCTCGTTTCCCTTCAGATCCGTAAGTTCTGGTATCCATATGAGACTAATTTCTCATAGTTCTATAGCAAATGCCTTGCCCCGATGACTACGGAGGCAGTTTTCAGTAATATGACTCACCTGATCCAGATCCTCCATAACTTCCACCTCCTCCACACGAACTACCAGAGCACCCATGTCCTCCATATGAACCACCGTGGCTTCCAGAAACAGCTCCTGCTCCTGCCCCAACGTGTACCCCTCCATAACCAATAGATACTCCACCAGATCCTGCGTTTGATGATCCACCACAGGCAGCTCCTGATTTGATAACATAATTTGTTAATAAATCAACTATATAACTATAGCCTATACAATATGGTGATGACTAATGATGAAGAAGAAGCTGGTCAAATCGTGGAGTGAACGACGATTTCCGTCGCAATTTGATTTAGCACTGTGTTTCAGGTTTTGCCTACATTTCTCCCGGTTAATCCTAAGAGCACAGATATATGTCAAAGCTCCTTCAACAAGTGAATTATAACAAAAAACTAGCTCAAAAAAGTACGTTAGACTCTCCGCAAGAAGATGAAACATTAACTAACATTTGGGGATGTCTGGGTCTTCATTGCGTTCATCCAGAAGGCTTTTGCACGATGTAAACAAACATATGCAGCGGCTGGTGCAAAAAAACATCGAGGACGACGGCGACGTCTGAGTACACTCGCGGAGTATCAATAGAAACTTGAAGATCAAATCGATACGTAGAACGCTCTAGGAAATGTGCCATTTTCAAATACGATTGGGAACTTAAGAGTGAATTTACTTGACGTCATTTTTTCCAGCTACCAAGCCAAATTTTGTATTTCTGTGAGATTCTTATATTAATTTATGTTTTGAAATAATTAGAGAAAGCCTAATGCCGAAATTGAGATACATTTTCGACGTCCTTATAAAATTAATAATTTACCTATGCAAGTTGGTTTCTGTTCATCACCTCCTGCACCACAAGCACCTCCTTTACATCCAGGTTTAAGGTCATAGCTGCCGCCAACTGATCCTGAAACACCACCACTAGAAGTAACTGTTGAACCACCACACGAACCACCTGAGCATTCAGGCTTATTGTGGTGCTCTGATCCTCCAGACGTCGTACCAACTGAGCCAATGTCAGGCTTAACATGTTTAGATTCGCCTGAACTGACGGATGTGGTGATATCTACAACGCCAATACCATGATCAGACTTTTCATGAGCACCAAATGACCCAGCTACTGTACCAGTTGAGGTTATTGAGGTTTGAATATCTACTCCACAGGAAGAACCACCTTTACAACCAGGCTTATGATGATCAACAGGATGATGCTCGTCGACTCCACCAACTGAACCACTTGACGTTACTGTCGCAATATCCACTCCACAAGAACCCCCTTTACAACCAGGTTTAAGAGGATGATCGGTATGATGATGTTGGTCAACTCCACCAAATGATCCAGCTACAGCACCGGCTGAGATTACTGATGTCTGAACATCTACCCCACAAGAAGAACCGCCTTTACAACCAGGCTTATGATGATCAACAGGATGATGCTCGTCGATTCCACCAACCGAACCACTTGACGTTACTGTCGCAATATCCACTCCACAAGAACGCCCTTTACAACCAGGTTTAAGAGGATGATCGGTATGATGATGTTGGTCAATTCCACCAAATGATCCAGCGACAGCACCGGCTGAGATTGCTGATGTCTGAATATCTACCCCACAAGAAGAACCGCCTTTACAGCCAGGTTTATGATGATCAACATGATTATGCTCGTCGATTCCACCAACTGAACCACTTGACGTTACTGATGATCCAATATCTACACCGCAAGAACCCCCTTTACAACCAGGCTTATCATGAAGTTCGGGGACATGATGATCTACTTTTGGATGAAGCTTGTCGTGATGACCGTGCATATGGTGATCTGAGTGATGATGATCAAAGAAATGGGGATCTGGTTTATGATGGTCAGAAGCAGGGGAATGTGGTACATGATCATCTTCTTTGTGAGTTGGTTCATGTTGTTCAGGTTTTGGCTCGTGATGTTCTGGTTCTGGAAGCTTTGACTCGTTAGGTTTATCGTGTTTTGGTTCTGTAAGTTTTGGCTCGTGATGTTCTGGCTGAGATGGCTTAGGTTCATGATGTTCTGGTTCGGGCAACTTTGGTTCGTCGTGCTTTTCTTTGCTTTCTTCTGCTCCGGTACTTGTACTCACTAAAAATAGAAGACGCATTAGAATTACTGACTGAGATCATTTTATACACGTATATCATGATGTATTAAAACAGCTAAGTAATCGATCCCAACGCAGGAGTACCTTAAGGATCAGTTTTTAGGTCCGATCCTATTCTTACTCTATATCAATGATTTAATATATACTAAGTGACATATAAATCCGAACACCCAGTTTAAATGGTTTTATTTTAATAAAATTTTGTATAAGTACTTAATAAAGCATAATAAGTAAATGATAAAAATTTCAAAATGATTGCACTGCTTTAAAGCCCTTTGACCTTTAATAATGTGTGGATGCACCCTGATGTGCTACGCATTCTCCAACGCGCCTAGGCATGCTTCTGATCAGATGGTCAATGTCCTCCTGTGGTATCTCATTCCAGGCAACCACCAACTCCTCTCGAAGTGCTTCTAGAGTCTGAGGAGGACGTTGCAAATTGAGCAATCTCCTACCCATCATATCCCACACGTGCTCAATTGGGGATAAGTCGGGAGATCTTGGTGGCCATGGTAACAATGTGACATCATTATGTTGAAAGAAGTCTATTGTGACTCTTGCAACATGTGGTCGGGCATTATCTTGTTGGAAAGTTGGATCTGCCAGGGTGTCAAGGTAGGGTAAAAGATGGGGTTCTAGAACTTCGTGGATATAACGCTGCGCATTCATGTTTCCTCTGATGAAGATTAAAGGTGACCTGAAACCATAAGCTATAGCACCCCAAACCATAACTCCAACAGTGTGATGAACATGTCTTTCAACAAAAAACTGTGGATTCCTCCTCTCACCACGTCACCTTCTAACCCTGGCACGACCATCGTGCATGCCTAAACAAAATCGAGACTCGTCACTAAAGACAATACTGTTCCATTCCTGTTCCCAGAGTGACCGTTGTCTGCACCACTCAAGGCGATTACGTCGGTGTTCTCGAGTTAAAGGGAGGACCCAGTGTGGCCGGTATGAAAACAAGCCAAAACTTCTCATTCGTCGGTAAACACTTCGCATGCCAATAGGTCTTCCGTGTTCTGCAAACCATTCATTTGCAATGGACCTGGTAGTGGAGAAACGGTCCCTTAAGGCCAATAATCTTAGGCGGCGATCTTCACGGTCTGTTGTTCTACGGCGGTGTCCAGTGCCCCTTGCTCTTTGCGTACGGCATTCTCGAAGCCATTCCTGACAACACCTAACCACAGTGTCTACACTTCTTTGCACTATAACTGCAATTGCCCGAAAAGAAAGTCCAGCTTCCCGAAGTCCAACTATACGTCCCCTATCAAACTCACTAAGTTGACGAAATCGTACAGGTCTCCGTACTCTAGGCATCGTAACCGATCGTAAAGGATGTCAAGAACCAAAATCCGCCAGCGTTGATTCTTTACTGCGGCTGAAATATTCATTTTTAGAGCGTTAGTGAATTAAAAAAAAACAGTATGAAAACCGGAATGTCCAACTGATAAGGCTGAACATTTTTTCACTTACACCCACTTTTATTAAAATAATACCATTTAAACTGGGTGTTCGGATTTATATGTCACTTAGTATACTTAAACATCAATGGTAAATTCGCAGTTTTTGCTGGCGATACCACAATACTTTGGCAAAACGCAAATATAAATGAAATCAAGAAAATTGGTAGAGATATATATGTACAATCAATCAAAGAATGATGTGACAACGATTACTTGATTTTCAATGCACATAAGACGAAATTTATGACATTTAAATGCTCCTTGATTTTATGAATTCAAAAAATGAATTAATACACAAAACAGTCACCGTCAAATTTCAAGCACATCCTTAAGCAGTTACTTTTCCTCCAGTGTTGCCAGATCGGACGCCACGTTGCCGTCTCATTACTTAATTCACGGACCTCGTAAAACTTTTCTAATAGTTGGGATGTGTGACTGAGTGGAAAGGAGTTTGAATAAATCAACAGGGAAATGCTTATAATTTAAAGTAAATACTTACCAGAACCAGCAGATGAGTGTACGATGCTAACTACTCCATCTCCCTTCTCATTAACAACGCTTGGTGTCTCACTGACAACAGTTGCCTCCGTAGTCTTTTCTTCAGTTTTTGCTTCGTCTGAAGATGTTGTTGAACCTGGAAGAATATTGGAAGCCTTATTAGCTAAAAGATGATAAACATTTAGCATGAATACAGTTCCAGGTATGCTTAGTAAAAATATTTGCAATTCTTTTCAAAAAGGTTCCCCCTAGCAGTTGGAAACTTCAAAATGGCGGTTGAGCGCCATTTCGGAGCTTTTTTAAATGTAAAGAGAAGTCTCGCAATACTTTATTTTAAAGCTCCTTGAAAGTATAATATAAAATCACCACCTTAAAAAATGGTGAATTGGGTGGCGACCAGTTACATTGAGTCGCTTGTAACTCAACAACCAATCAAAAAGTATGTTATCTTCTTCTCTTGGAAGGCTCTATTCGAATATTTAATTAAATATGGAACATTCCATTTAAAAAAAATGTCAAAATATGTCAATTTTTTTATACGAAATGCTTCATACTTATTTAGGTAACAATTTCATAGATACATACTATATCGCTTTGGTGATAAATTGTTTATTTTTATTCTTGAATCACCACGAAGGCCTGGATACCGTAGGCCAATAGGGGATACCGGGGAAAAGGGGGATGTCACACAGACTCTAGCGAGGACCACGTATGCATGCGGCATGCACTCATTCTAGCCCCGCCTTAGAGATCCGTCGGGTGGTACCTCCGCGTCTGACAGTTCGAAAGCGCTCAACTTTGACAGCCTGCCAGCTCGCCATTTTGAAATACAATGACTTTATACCTTAGGACTATAAAGTACTTATGAAAAGCTTCAAAATGTCGGTATTGCATGACCCGCATTCTATTAGCTGCCATTTTGTGTGTAGGAGATCGGAACACGCGCCGAGAGCTTAAAAATAGCATTTTCAATTTCCGAAGACCCCGTTCCCGTTCTTCAATTTTCAATTTGCGACTTTTTTCGTATGAACTCTCTGAACATATTTTCTAGATCCGCCCATGCGTGAAATAGGCATTTCAAAGTTATTTCCCGTGGTAAAATGAAGCCTATGTGCTATTTCAGACTTTGGCGTAATTAAATAACAAACATCCACACTTTTTCATTTATAGTATTAGTAGAGATTCACTATATTGACTAGTCAAATTTATCAGTCTAGTTGAATCTTAGTTGTTAGGTAAAATATAAATAAATATAGCTAAACTACAGTGGACCCCCGATAATCCGGCCCCTGTCTAATCCGGCGACCCCTGTAGTCCGACATGTCTTTGAATATTACATACATACGTATTTGACAATATTCGCTAATGTAGATCACGCAAGTTTGAACAGGTTACAACTTGTACGCGCCACCGCTTTCGTGCTCGACGCGTAAGCATTGTTTTACTTAGTTTCAGTTTGACTACTGGTGATAGCGGTACGGCCTAGCCTGCGTTCATTGTTTAGTATTTATGCATTGTGTATTAAGTATAGAACCTAGTAATGTCATCAAAAACTCAAAACTGGGTGTTCGGATTTATATGTCACTTAGTATAGTATAAGTATAGCTAAACTACTCACCAGAAAATGTTCCAAAGCTGACACCGTATCCGCTAACGTCCACCTTCGTTGTGCATTCTTCTGCCTTATCTTCTTCCTTCGTGCCTTCGGGATACTCGCATTTCTTCTTAGGTGTTTCTTGCTGAGGAGCCTCCACAACAGGCCTAATATTGGGCGTTATTGGGATAGTAACCACTGTCGGTTTCTGTCCCTCAACGGGGGTAGTGTGAACTGGAATGGGAGTATGCTTTGGACTGCAATGGGGGTTCAATGGAGAACAACCGTCTATGGGCGGAAGAAAATGATGAGTGGGCTTTTCATGATGAAATGGGAACATGTCGTGAAGCACAGGTTTGGGATGAGGTGAATGTCCGTGGGGTTTCTGAGAGCAATGAGGATCAAGAGGATCGCAAGGATGACCTGGCTTTCCATCGAAAATACCACCATGGAGTCCTGGGAAAGCACCCATCGCGAAAGTCCCGGAGACTGCCATGTCAGCAGGTTTTCCTAGAAAATTCATCAGTTCCGTGAACAGAAAATTCAAAGAACTATCAACAAAGATTGTGATCAAAATGTTATCTAGCGCTTGTTTTAGTATTAAAGTTATGATTTATGAGGAAGTATCATTATTGTAAGGCGTTAAACATTAGAAGCATAATTATTGTACTGAAAGGGAATGTCAAGCAGATTTAAAAAATATGTAAGAATAATATAATTGTCAAAATTCAGTTAAAATTTTAAATGGCAAAAGTTTGACGCAGAGCAGTGGTTAGTAGTCTTGAAGAAAGAAGAAGGAGTTTTTTTTATAAATGGGACAATGAACAGTCTCCAACATTAACAATAAGTATAAGAAAACCATGCGTAGTTAGCGAATACTTGCATATCACAGTAATTCTGTAACTGATAGACAAAGCAATTTGAAAATATAGCTTAACTAACCCAATAGGACCTTTCCTAAAATGCGTTCCACCCTGAAAGGGACTAAAACAAATTTACAAAAGAGTGCATTAAGCAATAAAATTATCATTAGGTACCTGCACAATTTGGATTTGAAGGTCCACATTCTAATGCCGGAGCTGGTTTGCCATCATAAATGTTTCCTTCAGGTTTTGGTAAATTTCCTGTAGATACAGTACCTGTAAGTAACAATTAATAATTCACAATGATGTAATTATGTTCTAAAGCTATCTCTATTTTTAAACTCAACCAATAAATTTAAGCTTGATTTTGTATATCTCTACCTTAGTACATGGCGAGTATGTCAAACATTATTCATCTATTTATTTGTTTTATTTATTCATTTATTAAATTATCTACTCGTATTTATATATTTATTTATTTATTGTGTACAGCAACTAGTGGCAATTACAGGGTGAATCTGTCTCTATCACGTGTAGAGAAATTATAAATGAAACAATAAAATTAAAGAACCTTTGTATACACATTTAAGTTCCTTTTTGAGATTTACTCACCAGTTGAAATACCTGAAGTTGTGCTAGTCGCTTGGTTGTAAGTACTTCCTGGGTGTCCAGTTGCCGGCTTACTGTCATGAATACTTCCCTTAGGACCTGGGAACTTATCAATCGGTGCGCTACCGGGAACGTAAGTATCGGGGGCTACTGGTTTACCTTTAAAAAACAGAAACAAATTTACTTTGTTATTCAGTTGAAACGATCAAGCAATTTCTGACTATCAGAGGTTTCCGATCAGGGAATGTCAAATAGAGTCATCCAAATTAATGATTTGATATTGCTTATCTATGAGCTGAACTTATCTGTAAATTACCATCCGCATACAGTTTGTCACATACGGAATTCCATTTCTATCCGTGCTTATGCACGCCACTGCTGATGACACGGTGGACACAGTATCCCCATCGGTCCCATCTGATTGATGGATCGTCTTATAATGTTTGAAGACATTCTTCGTTCTCCGAGTTGATTGGTTTTGAGATTTGACAGAAGTCGTAGGGACCTTCCTGCACCTTCGACGTTGACACACTAGGGAGCAGCAGTCGGCTCTTCGTTCACTACTTGCTGACTTTTTCTGTATAGTCCACATGCGCTCTGTTTATTCCCGATTATCTGTCTCCAAGGTAAGACCTATACCATGTCGCACTGATGAGTGCAAAAAACAAGCGTCATATACAGTCACGATAGCGATCTGATCGCCATGTTTGTACTGATAGCCTGTAAACGCCACCAATGGAGGAACGACCATATCTTACCTAAAATGCTGCAACCCACATAACGCCAGCAAGGTTTGTGGGTTGCAACCTGGCGAGATGGACTTTTGAACGTTAGCCGTTACATTTTGCGACCACAGTTTTCTTGTAATTTTGTGTGAGCGACTGACATTTCTGGATTTACAAACATCAAATTCATTTCGTTTCTCAACTTTTTACTATCTTGTTCCATATATACTAAGTGACATATAAATCCGAACACCCAGTTTAAATAGTTTTATTTTAATAAAAGTTGGTGAATGTATTTATCTTACTGTAAATAACAAGTGAAAAAATGTTCAGCCTTATCAGTTGGACATTCCAGTTTTTATACTGCTTTTTTTTAATTCACTAACGCTCTAAAAATGAATATTTCAGCCGCAGTAAAGAATCAACGTTGGCGGATTTTGGTTCTTGACATCCTTTACGATCGGTTACGATGCCTAGAGTACGGAGACCTGTACGATTTCGTCAACTTAGTGAGTTTGATAGGGGCCGTATAGTGGGACTTCGGGAAGCTGGACTTTCTTTTCGGGCAATTGCAGTTAGAGTGCAAAGAAGTGTAGACACTGTGGTTAGGTGTTGTCAGGCATGGCTTCGAGAAGGCCGTACGTAAAGAGCAAGGGGCACTGGCGCCGCCGTAGAACAACAGACCGTGAAGATCGCCGCCTAAGATTATTGGCCTTAAGGGACCGTTTCTCCACTACCAGGTCCATTGCAAATGAATGGTTTGCAGAACACGGAAGACCTATTGGCATGCGAAGTGTTTACCGACGAATGAGAAGTTTTGGCTTGTTTTCATACCGGCCACACTGGGTCCTCCCTTTAACTCGAGAAAACCGACGTAATCGCCTTGAGTGGTGCAGACAACGGTCACTCTGGGATCAGGAATGGAACAGTATTGTCTTTAGTGACGAGTCTCGATTTTGTTTAGGCATGCACGATGGTCGTGCCAGGGTTAGAAGGCGACGTGGTGAAACGAGGAATCCACAGTTTTTTGTTGAAAGACATGTTCATCACACTGTTGGAGTTATGGTTTGGGGTGCTATAGCTTATGGTTGCAGGTCACCTTTAATCTTCATCAGAGGTAACATGAACGCGCAGCGTTATATCCACGAAGTTCTAGAACCCCATCTTTTACCCTATCTTGACACCCTGGCACATCCAACTTTCCAACAAGATAATGCCCGACAACATGTTGCAAGAGTCACAATAGACTTCTTTCAACATAATGATGTCACATTGTTACCATGGCCACCAAGATCTCCCGACTTATCCCCAATTGAGCACGTGTGGGATATGATGGGTAGGAGATTGCTCAATTTGCAACGTCCTCCTCAGACTCTAGAAGCCCTTCGAGAGGAGTTGGTGGTTGCCTGGAATGAGATACCACAGGAGCACATTGACCACCTGATCAGAAGCATGCCTGGGCGCGTTGGAGAATGCGTAGCACATCAGGGTGCATCCACACATTATTAAAGGTCAAAGGGCTTTAAAGCAGTGCAATCATTTTGAAATTTTTATCATTTACTTATTATGCTTCATTAAGTACTTATACAAAATTTTATTAAAATAAAACCATTTAAACTGGGTGTTCGGATTTATATGTCACTTAGTATATTTGTTGTAAAATCCTTTCATCATGGGGTATTTTATTTTTGATCTCTCGCATTTTTTAAATTCATCATATTTGCATATGCATAATATCCAGAATGCATAATAAGAAAAGGTTGATGCGCAACTAACTCCTAGCGTTGCATAGGCGTATTTGAGACAAGAATCAACGAAAACCGCACCACCCCAGATTATTAGTACACTAGTCATCACCATGCACTGCGGTGTTTCCTTTCGGCAATACTATAAAACTAACAGCTTAGTCTATAGAAGAAATGAATGGTCTCAGCTAGCGCCATCTGTGAAGCGGCTGTTGCCACAGCACGTAAGGGATTACGGAGTGAACGATAGCTTGTTCGACAATTACGGCACTCACGAGGGCTCCTCATGTTAAAGTAAAACGACTATTCAACGAAAGCGAGACAGAAACAATACCGTTTGTCAACGGAACTTCATCTGCAAATTAGAACAGTCGTAATCATAATTTAGACCGTCTGTCGACTGATGAAATTTATTGCTGACAGTCACCAAAGTATGACGTCGCACATATGCTCCACCCTGAGAATTTTGACTTCGCCATGATAATTTCAATATGGCTTCATTTAGAATCAAGTCCCTGATCGCTATTCCTGTCATTTTGCAATTACGTAATAAAGGTGCGAGTATCTTTTACTTAACGTTAAATTTTTTCGAACTTCCAAGCTAAGAATACGAAAGATTGTGGATGGTACAAGGATTATTAAAGCATATACATTTTCTTGAAGTCTTGAGGCCTTACCAGAGCAGTTGGGGTTTGATGGTCCACACCCATGAGATCCATAAGTACCAGCAGTACTACCTGCTGCAGTAGTAGTGGTTACTTGATTGTAGGCACCTGAGTGTGTAGGCTTCGATAAACAGTTTGAATTCGATCCACATCCTGAACTGGGAGCAGGTTTACTATCGTGAATACTTCCCTGGGGGCCAGGAAGGCTTCCCGTAGGTGGATGACTATAAGAGCCACTTGGTTTACCTGTAAAAATAGTCACTATTGCAATGGTTACCGATTGAGCATAGTTCCAAGTCTCTTTTTTATTGATAGGTTCTGGGAAATTAAGTTTCCATTTACGTATTCCAAGATAGGGCAACTGCTGATTTAAATCGTTAGATTTACCTCAACGGAACTCATTTTGTACTACTTCGGTGCTGGTGCCGACACCATAAATTATTCTAACAAGATATTATCTGAAATATTTACCTCCGCAATTAGGGTTGCTTGAATCGCATCCGTTGCCCTTGACTGCTCCTGCTGAAGAACCGCTATACGCTCCGGTATTGACACTTGCATGAGCACCTGCATTTGCACCTGCTGTTGTAGAAGTAGCTGGTTTATTAGAGCAATGGGAGTCATGTGGCCCACATTTTGTTCCAAATCCAAAATGAATTGTGCCTGTATTATGCGTATGAGAGAAGGAGTGTACTCCACCATCATTTATATCATAAGACGGTCGTTCTTCAGGTAAAACTACAGATGCAGACTTATCGACATGTATGTTTCCGGTAAGACCTGGTAAATTACCGTTTACGTTTATACTGCCTCCAGAAGAAATTGGTTTGCTGTCGACGGTGCCTCCTGAAGGTCCTGGCAGATTTGCAGTTGTGCTTACACTTCCTCCACCATACCCTCCAGTAGGTTTCTGAGAACAGTTAGGGTTTGAAGGTCCACATCCTTCAGACACTGGTTTGATAGTACCTGAAGGTCCAGGTAGGTTTCCAGTAATGGTTACACTTCCACCAGCATATCCTCCAGCAGGCTTCTGTGAGCAATTAGGATTTGATGGTCCACATACTTCAGACGCTGGTTTACTCTCATGGATGCTTCCTGAAGGTCCTGGTAGGTTTCCAGTGATGCTCACACTTCCTCCTGCGTATCCTGTAGTAGGCCTTAGAGAGCAGTCTGGATTTGAAGGACCACATCCTTCAGATACTGTCTTGCTCTCATGAATACTTCCCGAAGATCCTGGCAGATTTCCAGTTATGCTTACACTTCCTCCTGCATATCCCCCGGTAGGTTTGTGGGAGCAGTTAGGGTTTGAAGGCCCACATCCTTCAGATACTGGCTTTCTATCGTGGATACTTCCTGAAGGCCCTGGTACATTTCCTGTTATGCTTACACTTCCTCCAGCATACCCTCCAGTAGGTTTCTGAGAACAGTTAGGGTTTGAAGGTCCACATCCTTCAGCCACCGGTTTGATACTACCTGAAGGTCCAGGTAGGTTTCCAGTAACTGTTACACTTCCTCCTGCATATCCACCAGCAGACTTCTGTGAGCAATTAGGATTTGACGGTCCACATACTTCAGTAACTGGCTTGCTGTCGTTGATACTGCCTGAAGGGCCTGGTAGATTTCCAGTTATGCTTACACTTCCTCCAGCATAGCCCCCAGTAGGTTTCTGTGCACAGTTGGGGTTTGAAGGTCCACATCCTTCAGATACTGGTTTGATCTCGTGGATACTTCCTGAAGGACCTGGTAGATTTGTAGTTGGGCTTACACTTCCTCCTGCATACCCTCCTCCAGTAGGTTTCTGAGAGCAGCTAGGGTTTGAAGGTCCACATCCTTCAAATACTTTATTAACCTCATGGATAATTCCTGAAAGTCCTGGCAGGTTTCCAGTGATGCTCACACTTCCACCAGCATATCCTCCAGTAGGTTTCTGAGAGCAGTTAGGATTTGAGGGTCCACATGCCTGTAACACTGGCTTGCTATTATGGATACTTCCCGAAGGTCCTGGTAGGTTACCAGCCAAGTTTACATTTCCTACCGAAAATCCTGGCACGTTTCCATTTACGCTTACACTTCCTCCAGCATAGCCTCCAGTAGGCTTCTGCAAACAGTTTGGGTTTGAAGGACCGCATCCTCCAGTCACTGGCTTGATATCATGAACACCTCCTGATGGCCCTGGTATATTTTCAGTTATTGTTACGCTTCCTCCTGCATATCCCCCGGTAGGTTTTTGGGAGCAGTTGGGGTTTGAGGGACCGCATCCCTGTGACACTGGCTTGCTATCATGGATACTTCCTGAAGGTCCTGGTAGGTTACCAGCCAAGTTTACATTTCCTACCGAAAATCCTGGCACGTTTCCATTTACGCTTACACTTCCTCCAGCATAGCCCCCAGTAGGCTTCTGCGAACAGGTGGGGTTTGACGGTCCGCACCCTCCAGTCATTGGCTTGATATCATGAATACCTCCTGCAGGCCCTGGTACGTTTCCAGTTATGCTTATGCTTCCTCCTGCATATCCCCCAGTAGGTTTGTATGGGCAGTTGGGATTTGAGGGTCCACATCCCTGTGACACTGGCTTGCTATCATGGATACTTCCTGAAGGACCTGGTAGGTTACCAGCCAAGTTTACATTTCCTACCGAAAATCCTGGTATGTTTCCAGTTACGCTTACACTTCCTGCAGCATAGCCCCCAGTAGGCTTCTGCGAACAGTTGGGATTTGAAGGTCCACATCCTTCAATCACTGGCTTGATATCATGAATACTTCCTGAAGGTCCTGGTAGGTTACCAGCTACGTTTACATATCCTACAGAAGGTCCTGGCAGGTTTCCAGTTACGCTTATACCTCCTGCACCATAGCTACTAGGCTTATGACCACAGTTTGGATTCAAAGGTCCACAAGGAGACCCGCCTGATGCTGGTTTTCCTTCCAAAATGCTTCCTGCAAGTCCTGGTAGGCTTCCAATTACGCTACCACCTGAACCTCCAAATATGTGTACATTGCCTCCAGCGTAACCTCCTGATGGTTTCTGAGAACAGTTGAGGTTTGATGGTCCACAACCTCCTTGAGCGTTGGAAGCAACATAAGCACCTCCCACATGCTTGCTATCAAAGATACTTCCATGAGATCCAGGGAGAGAAGTAACTAGGTGATAAGATAATCCAGTGGTTCCAGAAGAAGTAGAGACCGCGCCGCTATGTGCGTAACCGCCTTTGCTTGGTGTTTGGGGTACTATCGGCGCTTGGGTAGGAGTCTGCAACCAAGCAGCATCTGGACCACCACCTCCTGGTGGGGCTGGTTTTGACTCAAAGATGCTGCCATTTGGACCGGGAAATGGACCTTTGCAGCTAGTACATCCGCCTTTGACGCTTCCACTTGAGATTCCCTGAAGGTTGGCGCTTGCTTGACCGCCAGCGAGGATTTTTCCAGAAGTGGAATATGAGTTAGATTGTTGTTTAGGACTAAATTCGGGACCAACGTCACTACCAGAAATTAGATTATTGTTGGCGTAGCCTCCCGACGAACCTCCAGCGTGGGAGTATGAACCTGAAAATATAATAATTTAATAATCTATTGGTCTTACACACGTCAAAAGAGTACATGTTGACACAGCCGCAATTGTATGAGTATAATGAACAAAAACACACAAGCGGAAAAATGGGACAGATTGAAATACTACTAGTCACTTTTTAAGGATTTATGATTTGCAATACTAAAGATGCATCTCTTACCTGATCCAGCTCCAGATTTTGCTACATCACTAGATACAGCACCAGCACCTGCTACAGCTCCAACAGAAGCACCCGCAGAAGCACCTGCTTTAGCATCAGCGTTGGCTGACGCAAAAGCAGTGCTACCAACTTTTAGATTCGGTAGATCCACTCCATTTCCTGTTGTAAATGCACCACTGAAGGCTGGAAAATTAGTTACTGAATTAAAAACGTAAAAACATGAACGACAGAATAAACTAATTGTGTAGTCACAACCTGTGTGTTTTAACTGAAATAGCTGCATTGCCTACAAGTAAGGGGTGTTTGAGGCTACTATAAAGAGAGAAGGAAGATGGTCTAAGCTGACTAGATAAGATGCAAAACGGAAATCTTGAAGTATAGTCTTGCTCTGTTTTTTGTTTTTATCCCTTCCTAAAATTAAGGTTTATATGAAACTGTAGCATGCTCCTACCGGCTAGAACAACCGCCATGTTTGGTTTTTATGGTTGTTCCATCGATCAGTATGGATTTTAGTCAGATAAGTTCTTAAAAACAATGAATTTGAACAATGACCAGTTTTCCATATTGTGACCTGTGAAGTTGATGCTTTCATGTTTCCTAATGTTTTGCCCCGTTTTTGAGATTGTCTTGAAACTCGATTTCAACGTTGTAAGCAGTTTCTTCATTAATATTATAATAAATATTGTAGTTCAGTCAATATTTTTGTAGCATCTCCTGAAGAAGAAAATAAGCTTTTCGAAAGCTTGATAACGACCACAGGATAAATATCCCGTCTGGCCTTCTGATTTTCGATTGAGTTCGGGTTGCAGCCGCAAGATTTCTACTTTGCATTTGAAGCTACTCTAATATACAGTGAGGCTGGGTAAAATCAAAGCATACTTACAAGATGCATGTGCAGATGCCGACGCGCTACCTGTAAAAATAGAACATTTTTTCATTTCTAATATCTTAAGCTGCTTAAAAAGAGCTTTTCTTCGTCTAGTTTAAAGAAGAATCGTTTGCCCAATCGCAGTCAGCATTACTTTTTGCGCTAAGAGTGCCCGCGCAAAGATTGAGGATGGTAATGGAGAAGTGGATTGCTAGACAACCCTCTCTGAAATGGAGAAGAATCTCTACACATCTCCGTCAGGCTCGAGAGCTCATCGTGTGGCCCAGTGTTGAGGATGGACGCTTTTACTTATCTTTGTATAGAGCCAACCTAAAGTTGTTGGTCTAGCCATTACACGGTGAGGCACCACCTCCATGGCTGGGGTGTTTGAGGATACCATGTGTGACGCTGCGGAGCAGAGGAAGTCTCATCGGCGCATGTTCTGTGTGGCTGTCAGGCTCTGAGCTACTACATGCAGACTATACTGGGATCTAACACTTTGCATCCCCAGAATGTTGAGAAGCTGGACTCAGTGCCATAATCAACTTTGCTAGAAGGGCTAGGGAATGTGGTGGTGCATAAAGGCATGTGGTCTATGGTGGGCGATAATCCTTCATTCTTTCATTCATTCAAGTATTATTTTTAGCCTTGTTTTCGTTCTTTTTATAACCCAGGCAAAAGCCTTACTTATAGACTAAGATACCATAACAATTTATCTATCTTTTCGGCCGGCACCTTCCTGGGTCTGGCAGAACAGGCTACCTGCGGTTTCTGCAGAGAGCATGAGGAAACCCCAGTGCATCTCCTGTGCAACTGTGAAGACCTGGCAAGGCTCCGGTTTCAGATATTAGGAATATTAGGAATCATACCTCCAACAGATTTTTTTTCACGAAGGTTTATAATCAATCCTCAACGACGCGTTTACAATACGCCAATGGAAACTGTAGATGATCTCCGACAAAGAATTTTTCACCATAGCCAGGAAATGAAAAATAACATCCAAATGATTTGGAGAGTGCAGCAAGGATCAGTTCGTGGAGCTCGACAGTGTGTTAGGCAAGGTGGTGCTCATTTTGGACAATTTTTGTAGCTATTATTTCCGTGTATGAGTTTTGTTGCCGTCCTCATTTGTTATTATTAAAAACCATAGCATATATAATAAATATATATATATACAGGGTGTTTCAGTTTATTGTTGCATAACTTTAAGATTAGAACTTTTAAAATTAATGCATAAAGTTTATATAAACATGGGTCGAAAAGTGGGTGTCTTCTTCTTGTTTCTAAAATAGTTTTTTTTTAAATATTTCGATCAATATTTGATGTATAACAGTGAAAATTGGTATACAAGGGTTTTTTGGTCCGACAAAACGAACCATGGTTTTACTGTAACCGCTAGAGGGCGCTCTCTACTGTACCTGTAGTGTATTAAAATGACCTAAAATTTTTTCTTAGTGCAATTGTTTGCTTTTTGAACAAAAAAAATGATTCTTCGCACTTTTCTGCATAAAAAAGCTCTCCGGTGGGTATTCGTTATAGTTAGCCGTTTTTGAGATATTTCGATTTTTAAGGTTCGATGCATTTTTAATTATTTATGGGAAAATAATATTTTTTTTACATTTTCGATTTGGGCATTACAAGAAATTAAGATGATCGTTTAGATTGTGTTTTTAAACACAGCAATAATTCCTAACTCCAAATAAACACAAAAAAACAGAATACTAATTTGTTTAATTTTCCAATATTATTTTTAACAAATTAAATTAATTATTTACAACTAAAATGCTATTGGATAGTTAGGACAAACATACAAAATCTAAAGTAGTTGCTCAAAATGAAAACCCAATTGTTCAATATACAATTCACATCTACTAATGATCGAACGTGGTATAGCATTATTCAAATAAGGCCTTATTTCATCACATGCATTCCTAATTCTGTCTATTAGCATATCTCTTGTGGTTACGGGAGTCTGGTACACTTTTTCTTTTAGAAATCCCCACACAAAGAAATCTAATGGATTTAGGTCAGGGGATCGTGGAGGCCAGGCGACTGGCTTTTCACGGCCGATCCATCTTTCTTTATAATTTTCGTCCAGCCAGTTTCTAACTATTCCCGAATAATGAGCTGGACAACCATCAAGCTGGAACCAGGCCAATCTTCTTAAATCTAACATAAAATCATCCCACATATTTGCTTGTTCAGCCTTTAAAAATTCTAAGAAGGTCGCAGCATTTAACCTTGCAGGCAAAAAGGTAGGGCCCAAATAGTCGATTACGGTAGATACCAATCCACACGTTCACACTAAATTCATGCTGAAAATTTCTTTCCCTAACTGCATGCGGATTTTCATGAGACCAAATATGTTGATTATGAAAATTTACCACTCCACGTCTAGTGAAGCATGACTCATCGGTCCATAAAACGTTACTTAAAAACTCCCTATTATTATCAAGAATCCACTGACAAAATGTGATTCTTCGTTCTCCGTCCCCTGGCTGTAGTCCTTGCACAGGTTGCAAATGGTAAGGACGTCTATGGTCACTTCTAAGAACACGGTGAACATGGCTTGCTGAAATTCCCAAGGCAATAGAAACTCTCCTAACATTTGTGGTCGGATCTCTATCAAAATCACGCAGAATCATACGGGTAAATCTGCGCTGACGCACATTTATGTTTTGATCCCTTTGGAGATTTCCAAAATCATTTTCAATTATTTGGCGATGCACTATTACAAATACTGAGCGAGTTGGATGTCGTCTGTTTGGAAATCTTCGTGCATATTCTCTGGCTGCTTCTGCTGCGTTTCCATTTACAAAGCAATACACAAAATGAATATCCGCTAGCTCTTGATTGGAGAATAAAAATGGCATTTTTATAAAACTTACAAAAAACAGGTAAAAGAAACTAAATTTCGTGCATTCACAATTATTGCAAAAAAACTTTTCAGGTTTCAACAGACAACAAAACTAACTGTCAACTAACTGACGTTTAACCTTATTCTGCTTTCAATTTCAAAACTACTTGCAGGCACAGCCTACTTCTAAAAATTATCGAGATACTGACTTTTTAACGTTATTTTATCATAAATAATTAAAAATGCATCGAACCTTAAAGATCGAAATATCTCAAAAACGGCTAACTATAACAAAAATTTACAAGAGAGCTTTTTTATGTTGAAAAGTGCGAAGAATCAGTTTTTGTATTCAAAAAGCGAAACATTGCACTAAGACAAAATTTTCGGTCCTTTTAATACACTACAGGTACAGTAGAGAGCGCTCTCTAGCGGCTACAGTAAAACTATGCCCATGGTTCGTTTTGTCGTATCAAAAAACCCTTGTATACCAATTTTCACTGTTATACATCATATATTATATAATATTGTTCGAAAAAAACTGTATTTCGGAAGCCACGCATTTTTCGACCCATGTTTATATAGACTTTATGCATTAATTTTAAAAGTTCTATCGCATCTTAAAGTTATGCAACAATAAACTGACACACCCTGTATATATATAAGCAATCATTCACTGCTCAATCTAACAATCAACTTTCAAGGATACGGAGACGATCAATAACTTTCAACTTCTAGATGTATCTACAATAATTCACTCGATATTTAGTTTTGCATCTCAAGTATGTCAACTTCATGAGCAACAAAGTAAGATTACTTAGAGCTATGACACCAACACAACCAAAATTAGCAAGCGATTCACATTTTTGACTCTCGATTGTGAGAAGAGCTACGAACCTATATTAATTAATTTATCGAGGATCTCTGGGAAGCAACTCGTATAACGAATTATGAACAGAAAACAATAGCAATCCGTGACAGGAAAAAAATTCCGTCTGCATGGTAATTAGCCATTCTTCCGAATCATCTGAATATTCAGACGTCGACGGTACGGGTTGAGTGCTTGCATAACATGAAATACAGAAAAGCAACACTTTAAAGGACATCCAGATCGCATCTCGCTAGGCTTGGCTTTTGGGATTGTTCAAACGAGATATTTCTGACCTGAGTCAACTTTATTTGAAAATAATATTACTGCGTTAATTGTCCATGAACTCAATTTGTTTGTCATTTGGAGTAGGGACTGAAACGGATATGGATATCTCATATCTGCATATTTCCAGAAGAAAAAGTCAAACGTATATTTAGTTTTATTTCACAATATGTGTCTTTACTATTTGTAAAAGGCCAATTTCAGCAAATAAATACACTCCTACGCGAAATAACCGGACAAACAAAATCTCGTTCAAATTGAATTTGTCTACAACTTGGTGAAAAAACTAATGACATTGATGCAAAGGTTAAAAAGTTATTTAAAATCTAATTTGAACAACTTTTTGTTTGTCCGGTTAATTTTACGTGGCAGTGTATATATCACAATCCATACAGGATATAAGCTTAAATAACAATAAATTCAAAACGATGTCCCGTTATAATGAACGCTTTAACGGTAACTTGCAGGTAAAGCTTCATAATATACACCAATTGAAATGATTATCTAGTTTTAGCCTGCGAGCCCCTTCCCACTTCAGTTGGCCCAACTATCGAACTCTTAGTATTTTTCTTATCAAACACAAATAATAAAAATGTAGCAGGATGTTATAGGTTTAAAATATACTAAGTGACATATAAATCCGAAAACCCAGTTTAAATGGTTTTATTTTAATAAAAGTTGGTGAATGTATTTATCTTACTGTAAATAACAAGTGAAATAATTTTCAGCCTTATCAGTCGGTTTTTATACTGCTTTTTTTTAATTCACTAACATTCTAAAAATGAATATTTCAGCCGCAGTAACGAATCAACGTTGGCGGATTTTGGTTCTTGACACCCTTTACGATCGGTTACGATGCCTAGAGTACGGAGACCTGTACGATTTCGTCAACTTAGTGAGTTTGATAGGGGCCGTATAGTGGGACTTCGGGAAGCTGGACTTTCTTTTCGGGCAATTGCAGTTAGAGTGCAAAGAAGTGTAGACTCTGTGGTTATTTGTTGTCAGGCATGGCTTCGAGAAGGCCGGACGCAAAGAGCAAGGGGCACTGGACGCCGCCGTAGAACAACAGTCCGTGAAGATCGCCGCCTAAGATTATTGGCCTTAAGGGACCGTTTCTTCACTACCAGGTCCATTGCAAATGAATGGTTTGCAGAACACGGAAGACCTATTGGCATGCGAAGTGTTTACCGACGAATGAGAAGTTTTGGCTTGTTTTCATACCGGCCACACTGGGTCCTCCCTTTAACTCGAGAACACCGACGTAATCGCCTTGAGTGGTGCAGACAACGGTCACTCTGGGATCAGGAATGGAACAGTATTGTCTTTAGTGACGAGTCTCGATTTTGTTTAGGCATGCACGATGGTCGTGCCAGGGTTAGAAGGCGACGTGGTGAAAGGAGGAATCCACAGTTTTTTGTTGAAGACATGTTCATCACACTGTTATAGTTATGGTTTGGGGTGCTATAGCTTATGGTTCCAGGTCACCTTTAAATCTTCATCAGAGGTAACATGAACGCGCAGCGTAATATCCACGAAGTTCTAGAACCCCATCTTTTACCCTATCTTGACACCCTGGCAGATCCAACTTTCCAACAAGATAATGCCCGACCACATGTTGCAAGAGTCACAATAGACTTCTTTGAACATAATGATGTTACATTGTTACCATGGCCACCAAGATCTCCCGACTTATCCCCAATTGAGCACGTGTGGGATATGATGGGTAGGAGATTGCTCAATTTGCAACGTCCTCCTCAGACTCTAGAAGCACTTCGAGAGGAGTTGGTGGTTGCCTGGAACGAGATACCACAGGAGGACATTGACCACCTGATCAGAAGCATGCCTAGGCGCGTTGGAGAATGCGTAGCACATCAGGGTGCATCCGCACGTTATTAAAGGTCAAAGGGCTTTAAAGCAGTGCAATCATTTTGAAATTTTTATCATTTACATATTATGCTTCATTAAGTACTTATACAAAATTTTATTAAAATAAAACCATTTAAACTGGGTGTTCGGATTTATATGTCACTTAGTATATTAACAATGAATATTTTGATAATATATAGTAGAAAACACCAACTTTATCACTCCCTAATCAATTTTGCAGCATAAAAATAACACGTTGCAATTACAGCATATCAACCTATTTTCATTTCAATGCAAAATAAGTCTATAACGCATAGGTGGCTGTGGAAAATAAAAGCCATGACAATTGTTTTTATTAATCACAGCTGCCAGAATACGTTTAAAATAGTTTTGGGTAGTTAAGGTTTTCAAAATGGGTAGAGGAAAGGTTATTAGTGAGAAAATTCGGTTACTGATGAAGCCAACCAGCAGAAATACGTATCGCTCGGGTTACCTATCCTATTTTCTGCTCGAACCCATTTTCCTCCTTTTTGCGGATTTTGCCCATTATTTTCCTACTTGGTGTTATATATATATATATATAACTGTTATATATATATATATATATATATATATATATATATAACTTGAGACGTGGTCATTGTCGTCTAAACCAGTTAGGTGAAAAATTAAAGCTTCCGCCTTTTGTTGGGTACTTCGACAAAATTAAGCAAAGAAGACTCTTTATACTTTTTTTTAATTCTCTCTAGCTTTCAATTGCAGCTCCTAATGATGATGGCAAAGTCCATTGAAAGCTAGAGAGAATTAAAAAAAGTATAAAGAGTCTTCTTTGCTTAATTTTGTCGAAGTACCCAACAAAAGGCGGAAGCTTTAATTTTTCACCTATATATATATATATATATATATATATATATATATATATATATATATATATATATATATATATATATATCACAATCCATGCGGGATAAAAACTTGAAAAATAATAAATTCAAAACGATGTTCTGTTGTAATGAACGTTGTGCTAAATTCAACGGGATCCTTAGGTGGGGCACAGCCCCCCTTGGTACCCCCTGGCGGGCGCCCATGACGAAAAGCATTGACAAGCCATTAGATGAACACTTAAAAAATACTCACTATAACTGCCTCCGTAAGATCCGCGTTTAACCACATGTCCTTGCACTGCAAAAAAAATAACAATCAGATCCAATCTACATCTGCGATCATTGAGTGTTTGAATCAAGGAGGAGCACCGTATAAAAAAATAACCCAAAGGTTAAGACACTGGTAACGATGGGAATTCCTCCGAGACTTCATTGACATATAAAAGTCGGGAATACCTATGTGAGAAACGACTCGTCAAATGAGGTGATAAAAAGCATAATGTAAGATGATGTAATGTGTATTTTATCATTCGCATGTTTTGTTTAAACAAATATTGGGAGATACTATAATAGTCGTTGGATGCAAAATAGCTTGTACTTTTTTATGAAGGGGTACATTAACCATTGGACTGCTGAAAGCTCCAGGAACAGTCAAAACACCGAATGAATGACCTTGTTTCCAGACGAACTGTCTGCGAACAGAATTGCGGCTATCGTTCTATACAGGGTGTCCCAGAAGTCGACGTCAAGCCGAAACCGGGTGATAGGCAAAGTCATAACAGCTATCAGAAAAATATTTAAAAAAATTTTATGTATGTGTTTTGAAAATTATAGTTCTTTGAAAAGAATATAGAAATTTCACACCCTACGGCAGTCTGTCAACTCCTGTTACTACAAATATTATTTTTTTTTGGATTTTATTTTTACGATGAATAATGCATCTTCAAACTGGTGTCTCAACCTTACTGCCAACTTTTCTCGTTCAGGAAAAATTGCCAGGTTGGCGCTTTAATAAGGATTCCAAAATGGTATAACATTTAGAAGATTACTTATGCACAATTTTTATTTGAAAAAAACTGATGAAAATTTTTCAAAATTTCCTAATTAAACAGCGATTATGAAAACGCACAAGGACTCTTAAGGATAACTGTTTGCACAACAGTGGGCGTCAAAATGCTGCTGATGATGATTTACCTTTACAGCGAATCCACGGTTATTAACAAACTCAGCTGCTTCCAATAGTCTTTGCCGTAGCTCAGCTACATTTTGAATCGGCTTGAAATACACTTTTTCTTTTACAGTTCCCCAGTAAAAAAAAATTAACGGATTCAAATCTGGTGATCGGGCTGGCCACGGTATTGTACCAGACCGCCCTATCCATCTGCCTGGAAAGTTTTGATCGAGATACTCTCTCACTGAGAGTGCATAGTGCGTTGGGCAGCCATCATGCTGAAACCACATGTCCCTGTAAATACTCAGTGGCACGTCCTCCAATAAATTTTCTAAATGATTTTGCAAAAAACCTAAATAAACCTCAGCAGTCAAAGTCTCTGGGAACTCAAACGGACCGATTATTTTACCATTTAAAATTCCTGTCCAATGGTTTATCTTGAAGCGATATTGAGATTTATCTTCTCTCATCAAATGTGGGTTTGCTACGTGCCACTCGTGTAAGTTATGCAGGTTCATGTACCCATCTTTCTTAAATGTGGTCTCATCCGACCATAAAATTTTTTCAAAGAACTGTGGATCTTTCCTGTGTCTTTCTAACATTGTGCGACAAAAAGCAACTCGGGGCTCATAATCCCGGGGCAGGAGAGGTTGAACACGCTGTATGTGGTATGGATGAAGCACATCACTTACTTGCTATTGCATACTTTGATACCGATCAGTACTCCTTCGTTTACTGCGCATCTTTACATGTTCGTGCTTGTTGATTTCGTACTGTTACTAATTTTGGATTCGTGATCTGGACTGTTGATCGCTTGTGATTTGGATTTGGACTGTTTAATTGCTCTTCAAAACAACATTTGCTTTCCTTAGACTATCTTTGATAGTGTGATTGTGCAGTGTCGCTATGTCCGTGTACACCGTACAAGAATATGCTAACATGCACCTCATTTATGGGGAATGCAGATGCAACGCTAGTGCTGCAGCGAGACTTTACTGTGAGAGGTACCCGAATGCAGATCGTCATCCAGATCATCGAGTATTCTCAAATGTGCACCGCTTACTGTTCTCAGCCAAACCAATCACACGGTGAGGGAAGATCTTTCCTTCTTTACGAAGACGTAGTGCTAGGAGCTGTCGAAGAAGACCCGAGTACTTCAGTGCGTGCAATAGAACTAAAAACAGGTGTGCCCAAAAGTACAGCCCATAGAATCTTGCAAAACAACGTGCTCCATCCATACCACGTACAGCGTGTTCGAGCTCTTCTGCCCCGGGATTATGAGCCCCGAGTTGCTTTTTGTCGCACAATGTTAGAAAGACACAGGGAAGATCCACGGTTCTTTGAACAAATTTTACGGTCAGATGAGACCACATTTAAGAAAGATGGGTACATGAACCTGCATAACTTACACGAGTGGCTCGTAGCAAACCCACATTTGATGAGAGAAGATAAATCTCAATATCGCTTCAAGATAAACCATTGGACAGGAATTTTAAATGGTAAAATAATCGGTCCGTTTGAGTTCCCAGAGACATTGACTGCTGAGGTTTATTTATGTTTTTTGCAAAATCATTTAGAAAATTTATTGGAGGACGTGCCACTGAGTATTTACAGGGACATGTGGTTTCAGCATGATGGCTGCCCAACGCACTATGCACTCTCAGTGAGAGAGTATCTCGATCAAAACTTTCCAGGCAGATGGATAGGGCGGTCTGGTACAATACCGTGGCCAGCCAGATCACCAGATTTGAATCCGTTAATTTTTTTTTACTGGGGAACTGTAAAAGAAAAAGTGTATTTCAAGCCGATTCAAAATGTAGCTGAGCTACGGCAAAGACTATTGGAAGCAGCAGAGTTTGTTAATAACCGTGGATTCGCTCGTTTAATAACCCGATCTTTTTTAAGAAGATGTCGAGCGTGTATTGCGGCTGAAGGAAAACAGTTTGAGCATTTGCTGTAAAGGTAAATCATCATCAGCAGCATTTTGACGCCCACTGTTGTGCAAACAGTTATCCTTAAGGGTCCTTGTGCGTTTTCATAATCGCTGTTTAATTAGGAAATTTTGAAAAATTTTCATCAGTTTTTCTTCAAATAAAAATTGTGCATAAGTTAACGAGTAATCTTCTAAGTGTTATACCATTTTGGAATCCTTATTAAAGCGCCAACTTTTAAGGTTACTTGCCAAACTCTCGTAGTACATTTTTTCCAGTACAGCCAGTTAAAGTTGAGCAAAGTTTTACTTTGGAATACTTGGTTGGGAAATAAGTGGCAATTTTTCCTGAACGAGAAAAGTTGGCAGTAAGGTTGAGACACCAGTTTGAAGATGCATTATTCACCATTACATTATAAAAATAAAATCCAAAAAAAGTTAATATTTGTAGTAACAGGAGTTGACAGACTGCCGTAGGGTGTGAAATTTCTATATTTTTTTCAAAGACCTATAATTTTCAAAACACATAGCTGTTATGACTTTGCCTATCACCCGGTTTCGGCTTGACGTCGACTTCTGGTACACCCTGTATACGAGCCTCTTCCCACTTCAGTTGGCCCAACTACTGAAATCTTAGTTTTTTTCTTATCAAACACAAATAATAAAAATGTAGCAAGGTGTTATAGGTTTAAAATATTAACAATGAATATTTTGATAATATATAGTAGAAAACACCAACTTTATCATTCCCTAATCAAATTTGCAACATAAAAATAACACATGTTGCAATTACAGCATATCAACCTATTTCCATTTCAATGCAAAATAAGTCTATAACGCAAAGATGGCTGTGAAAAATAAAAGCCATGACAATTGTTTTTATTAATCACAGCTGTCAGAATACGTTTAAAATAGTTTTGGGTAGTTAATTAAGGTTTTCAAAATGGATAGAGGAAACATTAGTGAGAAAATTCGGTTACTGATAATAAAAAAATTTTATGCTGGGAAATCAAACTCAGAAATTGCAACTTTGTTAGATTTATCACGGTACAGTGTGAGAAATATCGTTAGAAGATATAACGTAACTGGTTCAGTTAATATTAAGCCACGATATGTGAAAAAAACTAATATCACAAATGCCGACAGAAGAGCATTAAGAAGAATAATCGTGAAAAACAGGCGTGCCAATTATTTACAATTAAGTTCCCTTGTGGAGTGACGCAGTTGGAAGGAGAATTTCGAGGTCCACAACTCATAGAGAGGCCCACAAACTGGGATTTAGCACTTGCAAGGTAAGTTTTCTTATAAAAAAAGTGAAGTAGGCCAAAGAAAAGCCACTATTAACTCCGCTGCAAAAGAAAAATCGGCTTAGATGGGCTAAAGAACATAGACAATGGACACCTCAACAATGGTGTGCAATACAATGGAGTGATGAGGCCCGATACGAAGTTTGTGTTGGTAACAGTCGCACTAGAGTTATTCGCAAAAAAAAATGAAGCATTCCATGTTGACTGTCTGAAGAGAAAAGTGAAATTTCCAGCATCCATTATGGTTTGGGGCAGTATGTCATCAAAAGGAGTAGGAAAACTTCATTTTATTGATGGAAATGTGGATACAAACAAATATTTGACAATTTGAGAAGAATCGCTTTTACCAGTGATGGAAGAATGTTTGACATCCGGTCAAGATTTTGTGTTTCAGCAAGATGGTGCAGCGTGCCATACCTCAAAAAAGGCTATAAAATGGATGGAAGAAAATAATGTACCACTTTTGAAATGGGTTTCTATCAGTCCAGATCTGCCTATTGAAACTTTGTGGCACGAGATGAAAAAGGTTCTACGACAACATCATTTACTTTCTTGCCAAACCGTAAGAAATACTCCTGGAATTTTTGAAAGGGATCGCCAATCCATTAGAGAGAATTGAAGCCTGTATTCTAGCAGAAAGAGGACATTTACAACATTTCTTGTGAAAATTAAATAGTATTAGTTTATTTGATCCACAGAAATTGTCAAAACTTGTTTGCAAACTTGTTTTTTTAATTTTCATGCATTGTAAAATCTCATGTGGTAGTTTGTAGGTAAGATGTGCTTTTATACTAAGTGACATATAAATCCGAACACCCAGTTTAAATGGTTTTATTTTAATAAAAGTTGGTGAATGTATTTATCTTACTGTAAATAACAAGTGAAAAAATGTTCAGCCTTATCAGTTGGACATTCCGGTTTTTATACTACTATAAATGAATATTCCAGCCGCAGTAAAGAAACAACGTTGGCGGATTTTGGTTCTTGACATTCTTTACGATCGGTTACGATGCCTAGAGTACGGAGACCTGTACGATTTCGTCAACTTAGTGAGTTTGATAGGGGCCGTATAGTGGGACTTCGGGAAGCTGGACCTTCTTTTCGGGCAATTGCAGTTAGAGTGCAAAGAAGTGTAGACACTGTGGTTAGGTGTTATCAGGCATGGCTTCGAGAAGGCCGTACGCAAAGGGCAAGTGGCACTGGACACCGCCGTAGAACAACAGACCGTGAAGATCGCCGCCTAAGATTATTGGCCTTAAGGGACCGTTTCTCCACTACCAGGTCCATTGCAAATGAATGGTTTGCAGAACACGGAAGACATATTGGCATGCGGAGTGTTTACCGACGAATGAGAAGTTTTGGCTTGTTTTCATACCGGTCACACTGGGTCCTCCCTTTAACTCGAGAACACCGACGTAATCACCTTGAGTGGTGCAGACAACGGTCACTCTGGGATCAGGAATGGAACAGTATTGTCTTTAGTGACGAGTATCGATTTTGTTTAGGCATGCACGATGGTCGTGCCAGGGTTAGAAGGCGACGTGGTGAAAGGAGGAATCCACTGTTTTTTGTTGAAAGACATGTTCATCACACTGTTGGAGTTATGGTTTGGGGTGCTATAGCTTATGGTTCCAGGTCACCTTTAATCTTCATCAGAGGTAACATGAACGCGCAGCGTTATATCCACGAAGTTCTAGAACCCCACCTTTTACCCTATCTTGACACCCTGGCAGATCCAACTTTCCAACAAGATAATGCCCGACCACATGTTGCAAGAGTCACAATAGACTTCTTTCAACATAACGATGTCACATTGTTACCATGGCCACCAAGATCTCCCGACTTATCCCCAATTGAGCACGTGTGGGATATGATGGGTAGGAGATTGCTCAATTTGCAACGTCCTCCTCAGACTCTAGAAGCACTTCGAGAGGAGTTGGTGGTTGCCTGGAATGAGATACCACAGGAGGACATTAACCACCTGATCAGAAGCATGCCTAGGCGCGTTGGAGAATGCGTAGCACATCAGGGTGCATCCACACATAATTAAAGGTCAAAGCGCTTTAAACCAGTGCAATCATTTTGAAATTTTTATCATTTACTTATTATGCTTCATTAAGTACTTATACAAAATTTTATTAAAATAAAACCATTTAAACTGGGTGTTCGGATTTATATGTCACTTAGTATATTTGATTTTTAATCAAGTAAAGTCAGTTGATTAAAATAGCCAGTGCATCGGACAGAAAATAGTCAAGATATCAAATTTGCTGCAAAATAAGGGAAAATTTCAAAAGTGATTTTTATTTTAGGAAAAAGCAATTGCCTCCCATATTTTCGCTTGTAAAATCTCCAGCATACATTCCTTGCGGACGCTGCTTGTAGAAATATTAAAAAATACCCTACCTCAAAAAATGCCTAGGTACATGTCAATTTTCATGAAAAAATATCTAGAACAGTATTAAAGTTATAAGAAAACGAATTTTTTCTTAAAATTTTAACACCCTATAGCTCAAAAGTTTAGAGGTTTGGGACATAAGTTGATATAAACTTTTCTTCCTAAAATGATCTATCCTGTATTTTTATCCATCAATTAAATTATACCCTGCAGAATAGGCACTGAAAGCATAACTGAAGCATCAAGAAGAGAGCAAATAAAATGACAGAGATTTCTTTTGAAACACTGAAGTGTTCAAAACTTAGTTCAGGTTGCGGAATCAACGCAGTAAATTTTTGTGTTATGCATCTTCGGTAATCATTGTTAGTACCGGCACCAAGGATAGATCAAGATGCATTATTGTCGAGATAATGATCGATCCGGTTTGTTCTGTTTACTCCGCAAGTACAAGAGGTTATCCAAAGCTTTACATCCTGGTACCACCATTTCAAATCTAAATGCAGTCCTTAAGTCACTAAGCTCCAACACTTACACTGTCCAAAGCTGATCGCAAGCACTAAACATACAAACTCCCAAGATGTCTTTGGTTTCATGGTCACTCGGCACACTCACACACACACGCTGAAATCTGGGTAACGCCGAGTCGGTTCCGTCAGTACCGGTTCTTCACTAATCCACGACCAGCCCGGTTCAAACTATTTATAACAAAGATCGCACCTTGCAGAACCACCCGGGTCGCGTGAGCTTAGATTTTTTTTCTTGGTACCCTCAGAGCTTACGTCTTCGGAAAGTTTGCCATGATCGTCGCTGCGTGAGATTCTGACGCAGTCTGAGCATCTTAATGATGTTCAGTTGATGAGAAACTATTCATCCAGAACGTCATGTACCGCTAGTAAGATGGATGTCTGTGGCAAAAACTAGAAGTATCGGATGTATTCGTGATTAAATTTTTGCATTTTACGTGTAGGAGAGTTATTTTTCAAGTTGAAAACGCAGATGGTCGAAGCTGGTTGATTAATTCCTTTCACAAAACATGTACGAGGGATGTCTTTTAAGTTTTGCATACAGAAACATAGTGCAAAATTTGTTCTAGCGCATACAGATGTGTATTAATCTTCGTGGAAAATACTTCGAAAAACAATAAAGTCATTTAAAACTACCTACCGTGTTGTTTTATTTCCATATGCAAAACTTAAAAGACATCCCTCGTACAGACCAAGATAATTTTAAGAAAAATGCATTGTGTTGAATACAAGTATCGTACAAAAAAGGAAAGAGGCTATTGCTATTGTGTTGGACCTTTCCAAGATCTTTTAACCTTCTGCCACCTGAAAAACGCTCGGACAAGTCGATCTTGATTTCTTTTCGTCTATACAATACAGGGTGATCCAAAATAAGATATTGCGTCACAATTTAAATGTTTATTTTTAACTTTTAGATCCTCCATGAAGTTTTTAGTAACTTTTGTATATATCTACTTTCAATCGCTGTGAAGCTATTTGAGTTTATAATAAAATTCGACTAACTTAATAATGAAATCGACGGCAAGAAATAATAATCATGGATACCAGCAAGAACATTTAGCATCAGTCAGTGTCATCGTATAGAAGTCACAGAAAAACGTTGTGTTTCATTTCAAATTGTCAAGTTACCTACCTAGTTGACTTATTCAATTCAAGAAAGGGTAGAAATAACAAAACTGTAGTACCAAAACGAGAGCATTGCAAGACGTACTGCCCGGTTGTTTAATGCGTTACATCCAGACAAAGATATACTAAGTGACATATAAATCCGAACACCCAGTTTAAATGGTTTTATTTTAATAAAATTTTGTATAAGTACTTAATGAAGCATAATAAGTAAATGATAAAAATTTCAAAATGATTGCACTGCTTTAAAGCCCTTTGAGCTTTAATAATGTGTGGATGCACCCTGATGTGCTACGCATTCTCCAATGCGCCTAGGCATGCTTCTGATCAGGTGGTCAATGTCCTCCTGTGGTATCTCATTCCAGGCAACCACCAACTCCTCTCCAAGTGCGTCTGAGGGAGGACGTTGCAAATTGAGCAATATCCTACCCATCATATCCCACACGTGCTCAATTGGGGATAAGTCGGGAGATCTTGGTGGCCATGGTAACAATGTGACATCATTATGTTGAAAGAAGTCTATTGTGACTCTTGCAACATGTGGTCGGGCATTATCTTGTTGGAAAGTTGGATCTGGGTGTCAAGATAGGGTAAAAGAAGGGGTTTCTAGAACTTCGTGGATATAACGCTGCGCGTTCATGTTACCTCTGATGAAGATTAAAGGTGACCTGGAACCATAAGCTATAGCACCCCAAACCATAACTCCAACAGTGTGATGAACATGTCTTTCAACAAAAAACTGTGGATTCCTCCTTTTACCACGTCGCCTTCTAACCCTGGCACGACCATCGTGCATGCCTAAACAAAATCGAGACTCGTCACTAAAGACAATACTGTTCCATTCCTGATCCCAGAGTGACCGTTGTCTGCACCACTCAAGGCGATTACGTCGGTGTTCTCGAATTAAAGGGAGGACCCAGTGTGGCCGGTATGAAAACAAACCAAAACTTCTCATTCGTCGGTAAACACTTCGCATGCCAATAGGTCTTCCGTATTCTGTAAACCATTCATTTGCAATGGACCTGGTAGTGGAGAAACGGTCCCTTAAGGCCAATAATCTTAGGTGGCGATCTTCACGGTCTGTTGTTCTACGGCGGCGTTCAGTGCCCCTTGCTCTTTGCGTACGGCCTTCTCGAAGCCATGCCTGACAACACCTAACCACAGTGTCTACACTTCTTTGCACTCTAACTGCAACTGCCCGAAAAGAAAGTCCAGCTTCCCGAAGTCCCACTATATGGCCCCTATCAAACTCACTAAGTTGACGAAATCGTACAGGTCTCCGTACTCTAGGCATCGTAACCGATCGTAAAGGATGTCAGGAACCAAAATCCGCCAACGTTGATTCTTTGTTGCGGCTGAAATATTCATTTTTAGAGCGTTAGTGAATTAAAAAAAAGCAGTATAAAAACTGGAACGTCCAACTGATAAGGCTGAAAATTTTTTCACTTGTTATTTACAGTAAGATAAATACATTCACCAACTTTTATTAAAATAAAACCATTTAAACTGGGGGTTCGGATTTATATGTCACTTAGTATATTAACGATAAGTATGTAGCTAAGTTGAAAATTTGAATGAACTGGATCTTTGTCAAATATTCGCCGTAATTGCCATCTAAAAAGTAGACCAGTTGGAAATGAAGCCTCAGAAATAGCAATTTTATTATGTTATTCGAATTTTGTTAAATATTTTAAATGAATATTATTATTACTATTATTAATGGAAGGTTAATCTCTGTAGAAAGATTATCTCCAAACTAAAGACACAGCCAACTTTTTTTTAAACCGGAAACCAGAAGTTCAAACATGTCTTGCTGCCAATATAGACAAAAGCTGATTTTTCAATCGCCTTATACCACTATGGCCTTATTATAAGTACATGTAAAAAAATAATTGAATTCTTTCAATACCAGTAAGACATTGCTTATAAATAACTGATTATTCTCGATTATTACCTTATTATACTTCAAAATAAGAGCTTTTAATGACATACTTGTTTTTAACAGACCATTTACCTATTACGTAAACAATAAATATCCACTATTTAAAGACACCTATAATTTTTAGATATTCCTTAATATCAAATCAACTATTTTGGTGTATATGTATGCAAATGTTTTGAAAAATATCACAGGTGTTCATAATCAACTTTTCATGGTCATTGGCTGAGGATTCTGGCTGTAAAGTAGATGACTTACCATTAAATAAAAGCTAATAGCAGCTATGCGCTTTCCGCAGAAGTCGATTTTGGGGTGATGGCGCTTTGTCCTATCTTATTTCGATTTAATATTACAGTGAATAACAGTAAAAATGAGATTGTGGCAGTAAAAAATGTAAAATACCTGGGAATGTATACACACACATATACAGGGTGGCCCATCCATGTGTGGACGGAATACTACTCATAAACAAATACATTCTGGGAAAATCTATTAATGGAATGTTATACATGACATTTGAGGGCACATTTCTAAAATATTGGCTATTACACAGGGTGTCCCAATTTCGCCCTACATATCAAAGATGTGATTTTTCAAATAGAATGCCTCAAATTTTATTGCATATTTCGATAAACCAACTCAAAATAAGAAAACTGATATAACATACTATGGGGTTTTGGTAATTAGCTACTGAGATATAAGGTGTTTTGTGTAGAAAAACCCCCAAATTCGGCAACCCAGTCCGCCATTTTGAAATTTGGAGTGCTAAATTCTATACCAAAAAAAACTTACACATCTCAGCTTTTATCTTGTTTGTTACTTTTTCAAATTTTAATTTTTGCTCATACAGGGTGATCAAAAATGCAAATTGTAGTTTTTCTCAAAAATTTCAAATGTATATTTGTGCAAGTTTGGATTCAATTTTTTATAATCTTTTTTTAATGCTAGACACATAAGGGTTTTTAAGGCTATTTTTTCGGTTATCAGCACGTCTTTTATGGAACGGCTCAATTCCCTAAAATATCGCATCATCCTTGGAAACAAATAAATTGTTGATTAGTTACAAACTGTTAAAATTAGCTTTGTGAGCATTATTATTAAAAACGTCTTTGAAATGAATTTTTCCCAAGAAGAAATGGTGGATATGGTGTTCGTTTTGGGCGAAGCCCAATCAAATAGTTTCCTAGCACCTAGCATTACACCTTGGCCTATATCTTGGCCTCCTAGATCACCAGATATGTCACCGATAGACTTCTTTCTATGGGCCTACGTTAAGCAAGAGGTTTATAGATATCCACGATCTACCCCGGAAAATATGGAGGAAAGGATTAAGGATGCTTTTCTGAACATAAGGGAACAAACAAAAATGCTGAGGAATGTGCGACGGTCATTTATCCAAAGACTACGGCTGTGTATTCAACATGGTTTAGATATTTTCGACCAGTTTTTGTAGATTAGGTCTTGAGTACTGATAATCGTTTGTTTATGTTATTGTTATAATGGCAAAGTCCATTGAAAGCTAGAGAGATTTAAAAAAGTATAAAGAGTCCTCTTTGCTTAAATTTTGTCGAAGTACCCAACAAAAGGCGGAAGCTTTAATTTTTCACCTAACTGGTCTAGACGACACGTCTCAAGTTATATATATATACACTTATATATACACCTATATATATATATGTCTCAAGTTATATATATATATATATATATATATATATATATATATATATATATATTATTCCTTTCGTTGGCCATGAATTTGTTGTTGGAATTAAAATTATCAGGAAATTAAAAGGTATCGCGAAACCTGAACACAAAATGAAAATTTTATTGAAGCATATGTTTAAAACGTAGTCCTTTATTTTGTAGACAAAGCCTGACTCTTCTTTGAACATTGTTCACTGATCGTTTTATTTCCTTCCTTCTTGGACTTCCAAACTCTTACTATCACTGCATTTACGACTGAAAAGTCCACTTAAATTTACAAAATTCTCGTTAGCGTCCATATGAAAAAACATAGCTGGCGATAAAACTCGAAAGAAGATACCCCGAATTGATAAAGACTACGCCATCTTGAAGAGGAGGAAAAATGGCAATGTTAACGTGCTTTCTATTTTGAAATCCCACTACAAATGAATTCAGGAAGAAATTAAGATGATTTTGGAAATTATCCGTTTTTTTTTCCTCCTCCTAGTACTTAGAATTTCGAATCCTTCTAAGCGGCAATGGTGAGGGTTGTATATTGGTATATTGGTAAAAACATCACTAGTACGTCCCCAAAATAAGCCAAAAACTATTGTGATGTTAACTTTCAAAGTG